CAGTGAGCTCTCTCTCTCTCTCTCTCTCTCTCTCTCTCTCTCTCTCTCTGTATTCAAAGAACATGATTTCATCTTCCTGTTAAAGGTCAGCCAGCTTGCCTCACCTCCTCACATCATTTGGAAATACTGTTTTGGGTATTCAACAGTATTTCTCAGCCAAATGCTTTGCAGGGACATGTCTCAATGCTCTATTTGTGTGTGTGTGTGTGTGTGTGTGTGTGTGTGTGTGTGTGTGTTAAGTTCAGAGATTGAGCCCTTCATATCCCTGTCTCACCTTGCCAGTAATATCTTGCTTCTTACGAAGAACTGGAAGACTTTGTTAGAGGGTCAAATATTTAATGTGGTATTCAGTAAATCACACACACACACACACACACACACACACACACACATTGATGAAAATGGAAAACCTCATACAATTTTCTTTTTTCTTTCTTTTTAAAAAATTTTATTTTATTTTTAAAGACAAAGTCTTTCTACATAGACTTGGTTGGTCTGGAGCTCACCATGTAGACCAGGCTGGACCCAGACTGCATCAGCCACCTGAATGCTGGGACTAAAGCATGGACCACCAGCAGGCAGCCCTTCTAAATACCATTTTCCCATAACAGACTGAAATAAAGAACTACAGTGTGTGCTGCCAGAAGCGAGGGTCTAAACCCACCTTGCAGTGAAATCACTTACTCCAGCCTTTGTCTTTGTGTCTCCTCTCTCCCTTTTGGAAAGACAGTACTGCCCAGACAACCCTAGGAAAGTTTGGTAGCCCCATCCCTGGACCTGAAAGTCCCTGGAAAAACCCTTTACAAAGACCATTTTGTCTGGGCTGGACCACCTGAACCACCAGGTGAGCTGTTAGGCCCTCTAGATGCTGTGCATCTGGTCTGATCGGTGTGAAAAGGTCAGTTGGGTGATTACCTGAATCTAAAAGGACCGGTCCAGACTTCCACGCATCCATCTCTTCTGAATTTCAATAAAAAGAAACAAAGTTACTAAAACCAACCCAGCACAAGCTCCCAGAGAAACTGCTACAATGAGGCGTCCCAGTCCGGCAGAAGCTGCACTGGTAGAAGATGGGGCTCAGATTCTGGAGGAAGCAATGTGAAATTCTTGAGATGTTTTTCTCACATAGTGATCTTAAAACCAAAGGTATGTTCTCCATTCCCTCTGTACCAAGAGGCATGACCATTCCCAAAAGGTCCATCTTGTCCAATGCACCTAGCATACTGTCATATAGTCCCTACCACGTTAGCGGCTGGCTGGCACTTATATTTCTGGAGACCAGGAGTCACTATCTACTCAAACAGAGCAGAGTGTGTTAACCGTGTCTTACACTACTGAGAACCTGGAATTATTTTCCTTGTAACCGTCTGAAGTATTCTGAGCTAATGTTTGACCCACCAGCCCAGTCACCTACCCGTTTTTCCACCCACGCGTCCATACTTACTAACCATTCAGTATGTGACTAATATTATGTTAACTACACTGTTCTGCCTGTGTTTCCAGAGCTGACCCCTTCAACCAGTTTCTGAGTTTCCTCTCATTGTGTACCTCAATCGAGTGTGCTGACTGGTTTTTGTCAACTTGACACAAGCTAGAGTTATCTGAAAGGAGGGAACTTCCTTTGAGAAAATGACTCCATGAGATCTGACTGTAAGGCATTTTCTTAATTAGTGATGTATGAGGGAGGGGCCAGCCCTCCTTTTGTGAATGGAGGTCCTGGGTTCTATAAGAAAGCAGGCTGAGGAAGCCACAGGGAGCAAGCCAGCAAGCAGCACCCCTCCATGACCTCTGCATCAGCTCCTGCCTCCGGATTCCTGCCCTGTGTGAGTTCCTGTCCTGACTTCCTTTGGTGATGAGCTGTGCTGTGGAAGTGTAAGAGGAACAAACCCTTTCCCGCTTTGGTCATGGTGCTTTGTCACAGCATCAGCACCTCAAACCACAGAGTAAAGAAATGTGACACTTGGGTTCTAATGCTCTGCCAGGCCTCGAGGTGGGAAGAGTGATGGAGAAGGGGGGTTTTGTCCAATAGTCCCTGCTTTTATTTGAGAAATCTATGAGGTTAGGAGGGGCTCAGAGGCAGTGTGAATATATTGGAAAACCTCACAACAAAAGATGACTGGCCTTTTCTATCCTTACCTGTGCTCTCTCCAGAAGCTCAAAGGCATGGAGACTTTTATCTCCTAAAGGCAGTCTGTCCTGCTGGGGTTGGAACTACTAAATCACTCAAAAGGAGTAATTTTTTTTTTCTGTATACAAAGAGGCCAGGGAAATTTGAAAAGGTTAACATACTCTTGTATGTACAGGCTTAGTGGTAGGACCTGGATTTAACCTGCCTAAGGCAAGCCTTAACTATGTTGGGTGAGATAGCCTCCTGCCATGGAGTCCTTCATAAGGATCTTTAAATAGAGTTGTTTTACCCTTATTACTCTACTGCCACCTGCTGGTGAAAATCAACAATGTGTTATTTTCCTTTTTAAAAAGATGCTGGTGGCATCTCTGGGTTTTGCCCAAAGTTCTTAAAATGTTGTTTTAAATTTTCCTCAGCATAAAGGCTACCATACTGAGCATATTATTATTACTTTGGTGACACCAGCTTCTTACTGTTGTCCCCAAAGCCTCTTTCATCCTGCTTGGTGACTAGTCTGTACAAATTCAAATTCGTTTAATGACCAGTCCTGAAAAATATTTGGACAGCTGAGATTCAGTGTATTTTGGACTTTGTGGTAATGAGAAGTAAATGTGTAAAAGGGCCTTTGTGTTTAGGTGTCAAGGAGGGACAGGGCGGTATGGGAAGGAGTCAGTCAGAAGACCATCCTGAGGCTGCCAAAAATAGGTAGGTGTGCCACACCCACCTAGCCTACAGCCACTTACGGCCTTCTCCTATGGAAGGCTGAGGTCATGAGGACTTACCCTGCCCTGACTCACACAGCAGAAACTTGGAAGAGGGATGAGTACACATAGTCAGCCTGAATGTGTTACTTAACAAAACAGGGAATTATTTCCGTGACAATGTTTGGTTGGCCATCTCACAGATGAGTTATATCTGAGGAAACTGTTGTGTTTGGGGCAACTTCCAGTGCGAAGAACATTCAGGAACTGTCAACATTTACCTAGAGCATGTTCAATGTCAGCCAGAACCATCTTGAATACAATAAGACACAGTGAGCTTGAACTAGATAAAACTATGATCCCATTGTGTGTTTGAGGAAACTGGGGCACGGACATTTGCTTTGGTTGTAGTCTGAGCACAGGTCAGCAGGCTCCAGAGATTGAGCCTAATCTCCATCCATCCATCCATCCATCCAATCATCTATCCATCAACCTATTAATCTATCCCTCTACTAATCTCTCTCTTACACACACACACACACACACACACACACACACACACACACACACAGGATCACTGTTATTCCAGCATCTCAGGGTACTTGATTGTGCCACAGAAATGTTTGGCCTGGCACTGTCACCTATAACTCCCACTAATGTGGTTAAGTCTTCAAAAGGACCTAAGATGATGGTCCCTGCCCCTCTGACACGTCAAATGTGATACTGAGGCAGGTCTCAGTTCTCTCTGTTTTCCTGCACATCTGGAAATCACTAGCATGGGACCCAAGAGGGAGCTGCAGCATATAGCCATCAGGACTATAAAGTTTTATGGGCCTGAAGCCCAGGTGGCCTGACAGGACCCAAGTTCCTCCCTGGTGAGTCCCCAGGGTGTAGTTTGGAGGAGGAAGTGGAAGTTTGATGGTGTAGCAGGCCTCTAGAGCTAAGGAATGCTAGCAGCCTCCTGTCCGCTTTCCTGGTTGTGTGCCCCTAGGGCAAGAGGGCAGCATGTTTCCCTCAGACTTCCTCTTGCTGTACCCACACAGGAAGCCCTAAGAGAATACAGTCCCAAGGCATTGGTGTGCCGGTAGCCTGTTGCATAGGCACTTTTAGGCACCACTGGGGACATTTTCTATCCCTGGTTGTGAGTTCATGCCAGGGAAGCATCAATAGCTCCAGGTTTACAAACGGGATATCCTCCAATACACACTGTGGGATATTTATTTGGGACCTGGAAAATGTTTTTCATGGAAACACTAATTCCATGCTTAGATTTTCCAGGCCAGAGAAGCTTATTTGACTCAAACAGATCCCATGGGGCCACGCTTGATATTCTGACCTGGGTACACACACTCAGGTATGCGTAGACAGGATTCAGGTGGCCTGCTGATTCTAGAGGCAGTAGAACAGAACGATTCCAGGGACTTGAGTCGTTGCAGGCTCAGTAGGAGAGGAGCCAGTTGTGAGGCAGTTTGCCCAGTTGGAGCCTGCACTGTTTACAAAGGAGCAGTAATTCTCAGACACAGAGTTGTGTTCTGCTCTGGGTACAGGGCTCTGTCACACACTGCCAGTCACAGAAGGATCCATTGGAGGAGAAATCTACTCCAGAAATGACAAGACGTTAAATTGAGGTTCATAGATTTGAAATTGTCTCTTGAATTGAAAGCCATTCAGAATCTCAGACTTTCTCTGGAAGTCCAAGGATGATTTGGTTATTGAAGGCCTCAGAGAGGTTTTGTTTCCATGGGGATTAATTTTTTGGTAGGGAGTTAGTCCAGGTGCATTTTATAGAATTCTTTGTAATTCTGTCTTTCAGTTTTATCGTTGAGGAACTGGGTAACTTGTTTGACATGTATGACATGCATGGCATGTATGAAATGTATGACATATGTGGCATGTATAACATCTGTGACATGTGTGGCATATGTCTCATCTATGATATATGTGGCATGTGTGACACATGAGACATATATGACATCTATGACATGTGTGACATATGTGGCATATATGACACGTGCAACATATGTGACATGCATGACATGTGTGACATGTATGACTTGTATAACATCTATGACATGTGTAACATGTGACATGTATGACATGTGCGACATGTGTGGCAGGTATGACGTGTGGCATGTATGACATATATGACATGTGTGTCATGTATGACACATGCGACATGTATGACCTATGTGATGTGTATGGCATGTATGACATGTATGATATGTGACAAGTATGACAAGTATGAAATTTGTGACATGTATGACATGGTAAGAGCTGACTGGAGATTTGCAGCCCCAGATGTACTCACCCACCTTGACTCAGAGTGTATAGATAGTTTGTGCTCTGCAGGAGCCTTTGTGAGATTCCATTTTTGCACATCTTTGGACTGGCAGAGTAACCTTGGGCAAGGACATGCTGAGAATTATGGGGAGGTCTGTGGTTCAGGGCAGTTGTATGGATGATGGCATTCTAATTTCCTTTCTGTTGCCGTAATACAATGCTCTGAGCAAAAACAACTGGGAGGAAAGGGATTTGTTTGTCTTACACTTTCACGTTATAGTTTGTCATGGAGGGAAGTCAGGAAGGATTTCAGATAGGAACTCAAAGGCAGGAACCACGGAGGACTGCTGCTTGCTGGCTTGCTTCCAGGCTCAGGCTTAGCTAGCATTCTTATGGCCCTCCAAGGACGACAAGACTGGGGAATGGTGCTGCCTATGGTGGACAAGGACCTCGTACATCAAGTAAAAATCAAGACGACTCCCTAGAGACGAGTTCACAGGCTGTTCTGATCTGGGCACTCCTTCCATTGCGAGTCTCAGGTGAGTCTAGGCTGGGTCAAACTGACTGTTAAGCCTCACTAGGATAGTTAGTGAGATGGCAAAGAGCTGTAGAAACGAACAAGATCCAGGTAAAGGGAGCTGAGAACATCTTTGTAGGTCCAAGTATTAGAAACATGAAGGAGACGGAAGAGGAAGCAGAGCCTCAGACGACAAAAGAACTGGAAGATGATTTGGTCAGAAAAAGGCAATGGGTCCAGATGTGTTCAATAGAACAAAACCTCAAATCAGTCTGAAGGTGGTCAGGCTGCAACAAAAGGGAGCTGGAGACTGGGAAGGCGGCCGGGCTCCCATCGCATTCCCAGTCTCCCATCCACTCCTAAGGCACGTCTGATTCACATGGTGCAGCTTGGCATTTGCTATCCCAGAAGCCAGCCTGCAGATCGCTTTGGTGGGAAATCTCTGGAGGGGACTTAAGGTAGTACAAACCCTCAGGCCTCTGGCTTGATTATGGCCTCCTCTTTGTCTTACTGAGAAGAGACAAATCAAAGGTATTTCCTGAAGGCTGAAATGACTTGGCATGCCCTGAAACTCTGTTGACCTGGAGTTGGGCTGGAGAAACCAAGGCCCACAGTGGAAGTACATTTTTAGGATACAAGACTAGAAGGGGCAAGCAGTTTCTCCAGGCTGATACCTGCTCCTGTAGACTTCTGTAAGAAGCCTCTGGAACCTTGCCTTTGGGTACCTGTGGGGATTCTACAGGCTCAGCAGATCTACATACAACCAGTGACTGCTTTTTTCTCTTATTTTGTCCCCAGCTGAGAGTGGCTCTGGTCCAGATAGCATTTGGAGTCAGCTGAGTTATCTGTGGTTGGTGCCACCATTGGGGGCTGCAGAGAAGGCAGACATCCTGGCCAGGGGAACAAGAGGAGCAAATGGCCCATGGCTTGGGCAGTTCTGGTTCTGAAGCCAAAATGACAGTATATATTGGCAAAGTGTTGTTGTGCAGCTTATGAAAACCCGTTAATCTTGATGGGGGTTGGGGATGGGTGGTGGGTGGGATGGGGTATGGGGGATGGGAGATGGATCTTATTTTCTTCTCCTGTGTCAAATAAGATGGAAACTATCAGCTGGAGAGGTGGCTTAATGGCACTTGTTCTTGCAGAGGATGAGGGGGAGGAGCTTAGATTGCCAGCATCCACATGGTAGCCCACAACCATCCCCGACTCCAGTTCTAGCAGATGCAATGCCCTCTTCTGACCTCTGTAGGCACCAGGCACACATATGGTGTACATACACACGCATGGATAAAACACCCACACACATACAATTAAACAAATAAGCAAAGAATAAACAGTGGCAGTGGGAGGAGGAGATACAAATACCTCTTCATGGCAGTCCTGGCCTCTATTCCTCATGCCCCATGGCTCAGTGGGAATAGCATAGTTTTAACCAGCCAGTCAGCTCCCAGAACAGGCCTGGTGGGAACTCGTGGGAAGCGTGTGTCCTGCTCTGCCCCTTTCTGCTCTCTGTGAACTTCAGCAGAGCTGCAGAGCCCCGCTGCAGCCTCTGTGGCAGCACCAAGTCACTAAAGGCTTCAGGAAGTGAAGAGAGGCGAGCCTCATGTATTGTGACTCACAGGCATGCTCCTGGGAGAGAACATGTTTCTTTCCCTGAAGCATAACAGATATCCCCAAGCAAGATGCACTCTGCCCTTTCTTGGGAGATGATAAAATTTTCCCTTGGTCTTTTAAGTGAGTTTCCCCAAGCATGAGCCCCAGAGAGTATCTCTTTTTAGGCTTCTAAGAAGCCTGGTTACTGAATCCTTAGGAATTGCCATCACAACCTGTATGAAATCACCTCTGGGAAAGGGAAATCAGGCCTACTTAATGTCTTCCTTGCTTTCCTTACAGGTTTATTCACAGGTCTGGACCTGAGGGCAGAGCTTTCTCCTGGCCCAACTAGTTTAAGGCTCTATTAACTCAAAATCAAATGGTGAGGATTCGGGCTGTTGGAAACACACAGGGCAGCAGCAAGGAAGATAGCTGAGACTCTCACCTGGACTGGCACCAGGGCTGTGTGGGCTACTCGTGTAGGTGGTGGGGGACCACAGACCTGGAAGCACAGTTGGACTGGTCAGAGCATGAATGTGAATCTAGCTAGTTCTCATTCTTTCCATGGGCCAACCTAGCAAGTCTAAACGAAGGTCAGAACCAAGGCAGAACCTTTATGAAGTTTGAACCTGCCCTGGAGGAGGCGTTGGAATGGAAAGTAAATAAACAGACAGATGGATAGATAGAATTATAAATAAATAGATAACTAACTAACTAACTAACTAGGACTGAATTTAGAACAGTGGCTAGTTGGTCCAGGCACTAAACACCCTTATGACTGGCAAAGTAAGTCCCTTAGTCACAGGGGCCATATTTCTTAAATTTCCTTGTTCTCAAAAACGATTCCCCCTCAGCTGTGCCACTTGTGGAGAGGTTAAGGCAATCCCCCAACAGAAACATCGCCTAACATCTAGTCATTTGTCTAAGCTGCATAAACGCGGAGTTGATGCAAACCATTAGCTCTCAGCCATTTTCTAGAAGCATCCACTGGGTTAGCCTTGATTACTCTGGGAGAGAGGCAGCGGCATGCCCTTGCTTCCTGGGCAGCGTCTCTGAAGGAAGGCTTTACAAGGGGAAGGGAGGAGTTTGCTAAGAGAAACACAGAGCCCCTTGGAGGCAGAAGTCAAGAGAGAGAAGGGAAGGTAATGAGGAGATTCTAGTTTCTTTCAGCGCTGCTTGTGGTGGAAAATTTTTTTCCTCCTTTTGACTTTGCTTTGGACATGTGACATGAACTCAAAGCAACTTTATTATTTGTACAAGTCATAAAAATAACATAGGCTCACTGTAAAGAAGTTATCTCCACATACTATGCACTGGCAGGGAGTCACCCTGGTTGTCTATCTGGCAGTTGCTGGCCTCTGATTTTGGTATGTAGCAATACAACCGTTGCTCTGTACACATGTCCTCATGTACAACACACACATGCAGGACAGGCTGGAAGCCCGTGCTGTACCTCACTTCTTTGGTTGAGCAACTCACCACAGGCCAGTCTCACGCCAGCCAGTGCCCATGCATACCAGCCTTTTAAAGGTTAGCATTGGCAGTCGTGGGTTTAGTTTTATATATACGTTTTATATATATGTTTTATATATACGTATCATTATAGCTCTTACTCATTCCCCGCCCCCTCCCCCCTCACTGTTCCTCATGTACCTTCTCTTCTTGGGGTTCCTTTCCTTAATTGTAGCCTCGGATAATTCCCCCATCCTGATGTCACACACATCCCGCTGCTCTCTCACCTTCTTGGTTCTGTTGTCTGTCTACCTTTCTCCGTTCAGACTTTCCTCTCTGAGTCTATCTTCTACTGGTGTCTCTCTCTATCCCTCCCCCAGTCTAGAGTCCACTTACGGGAGAATATACAGGATATTTCGCTTTTGGACTCTGCTTTATTTTGCTGAAAATGAAGATCTCTATTCTTGAAAATGCCGTAGCTGCATTTTCCTTTATGGCTGAATAGTATTTACTGAATCCATGTTGCTCACTTTCTTCTACAGTTCACTCGAGCAGCTGTAACTTCAGCTGTATTTCTCATGATGGGTGAGTAAATCTTCATTTTCCTTCCTGTGAACACATCCCATGACCACTGTTCTCACCCTCGGATAATACTCACCTTACCCTTCTTTCTTGGAAGTGCGAATTCTGTGCCCAAACTGTGTATTTCAGTTTGCAGTATGAATTATCTCTGTCTCTCTGTCTCTGTCTCTGTCTTTCTCCCTCTGTGACATTTTTTTTTCTGTTTAAATGGCATGTATTTGATTCCTGATACAGTTGCATATATTTTAAAGAATATATTTATTGGCCATTTGTAGTTCTGGTATAGCTTGTCTGGTCATGGTCTTTCTCCATTTTTTTTCTTTAAGAATGCTTGTCTTTTAAAAGATTGGGTTTTACCAAAAATTTTCTCCAGACACTTTATGGAAAGAAAACGTTCACAGGCAGCAGATGTATCAGCTAGGAGGGAAAGTGTGTGAAGTAGCTCACTGATAGACACTGGTCTCCTCCTGCCTGTCCTCCATCTCCTTTTCTTTTCTTCCTTGCCATTTCTACGTCTTGTCACTAGGCGGCGCTCTTTACCCCATGGTATATTTGTATCGTGCACACAGTTTTGATGCTAATCAGTAGTGGCCACCAAAGTGAACCTGACAGAGAAAACAATGCTACAAACAACCACTCCTCTGCCTTATAAATCTGAGATATCCAGCTGACCCGACAGATTGTCTCTCTTTGCAGACATCTTTTCTAACTATTGAGGTGGGTGGATCTGACTCTCTGGGTGGCTCTCTCTGGCGCTGGGTGCTCCTGGGGTCCTGGAACCACCTCAGCCTCTCCTATGAAGACAGCTTTATTCTTTTCCTGTGAGTCGTCTCTGTCTCTTTGGCTCTTGGCTTAGTACTCCTACCTTTGGCTTTTATATTCATGGGTCAGAGAAAAAGACCATAATGTTGAGCCTCCTCTTCCTGGAAGTCCTCCTATGCCTGAGTTTTCATTCACATGCTGAGAGAACTCCTATCTTTTGTAAGTATCTACTTTTTTTGTTGTCAACTCCCCTCTAAGGCAATGGTTCTCAACCTGTGGGTCACGACCCCTAGGTATGGGTTATCAGTTATCTGCATATCATACATATATTTATATTATAATTCATAACAGTAACATAGTTGTAGTTATGAAGTGGCAACAAAAAATAAGTTTCTGACTGGGGGTCACCACAACATGAGGAACTGTATCAAGTCTTGCAACATTAGGAAGGTTGGGAAGAACTTGGAGTCTAGGATGTGGGGTTCTGTCTGAGCAGAAGCTTTTGACCTCAGTGTAGAACAAAGACAACTCTCAGGCCTCAAACACACACAGTTCCTGTTCCAGCTACACACGTGTCAGGTGTCCTGAGCTGAAGGGATTAGCTATGGATCTTACTGTGTTGAGGTGGGGTATCCACTGATATAGCCCAAGCTCCTAGAATGATTTCTGATGCATAATAGCCGTTCAAAATATTTCTCAAACGAATTAGGCTTTCCTCGAGCATCTCAGTTACAGTTACTTCTAGGATCTTTCCATTTTAGTCACACAGATAAAAGGGAAAAATACAGTAACAAATGACTTGTTGGTTAATAGTTAATACTATAAGGAGTATTTTCTTATCCCTGGCAGACTATTTTAGCTTTTTAGAATTAAAAGTTAGTTATTTATCTACTAAATATTATTTAATGAGGTTGGGTTAAAATATCACAGCAAGTATGTATAGCTATGCTTCAAGAAAGACATCTGTACCGTTGGGAATGGAACCTGGGGCTCTCACATTAAGTATGTATTATATTATATAAAAGGACAGAAGACCACTTAAATCATCATTAATGATCAAGCTTCCAGGAGCTGCTACTGAACAATGCCACACGGTAGAGGGAGTAGGTGCAACAGGATTCGGGACCCACAAGGTTCACATTGACAACTACAGACCCAAAGTACAAAGTAACATTCTCATGCTTACATATGTTTTTCTTTTTTAAGAGAGTCAGTCATAAAAGTAGATAGCTGTTTATCTAGGAAAGTGTTTCTCAACCTTCCTATTGCCGTGGCCCTTTAAGACAGTTCCTCATGTTGTGGTAACCCCAGCCATAGCATTATTCTCCTTTCTACGTTAGAACTGTACTTTTGTTAGCTGTTATGACTTGTAATGGAAATATCTCTATTTTCTGATGGTCTTAGGTGACCCCTGTGAAAGGGTCATTGGGTCATAACCCAGGTGTTAAGGACTGCTGATCCAAGACCAAGCGGGACGTGGTTCAGGTCCTGGTTCATAGGAAGGAGTTTTCTTTGGGAGTTATGATACTGTTCTAGAATTTAATTGTAGTGATGGCCGTGTAACTGTCTGGGTAAGAACTTTAAGCGGGTGGACTATGTGGTATGTGTACAGTGTCTCAATACAACTGTTCCTTTAAATGGGTAAATGCATTTGGACATCTCCATCCACTTCTGGTTTTGGATGCGGAATGTCTTTGAGTGGACAATGCCACGTTTGAGAAGTCCTCCGTCCCTGCCTACTCAAGCTCCTGTCTTAACAGCTGTGGTGCCTGCTGCACAGAGGCCTCTGTCTCTCCAAGGACTGGCCCAGCAGTGTGTGGGTCACAGAGAAGCGGGCACTGTGTGAGTATGAACAGAGAACACTGACGGGCTGGGAGGTTGCTGTCCAAAGCCCCTGTCCCAAAGCCAGGAGTAACAAAGCCCTGCCAGGCTGGGAGCCACTACTGCAGGTTTTTTTGAGGGGGTTTCAGCCAAATTGGCATCAAGACTTCCAAGCTGCCAGTATAGCCAAGAAAACAAGCCACACACTCACTGTGCTGTTACATAAGATGCCCTCTGGGAGAGACAACTACTGATTCAGATACTCAAATGTATTTGAAAGAATGGAGGATTCAAAAGCCAAGCTCTGGGGATGTAATAGAGAAAAATCTCTGGTTCCAGGGACTCCTGTGAGCCCTGGTTACCCAGCACCCCAGAATACTTCTCTTTTGCTGCCAGGAATCAATAACCTGTGTTAATATAATAGAAATAAAAAGAATAGGATGGGTTCGAGAGCATGTTCGATGCATTTCAAAACCTTAGAAAATTATTTTTACGATTCTCTGATTTGGGACCTTTAGGTTATAACTTCCAGGAGGCATCTATGAAATGTTTACAGTGGAATCATTGACAAGAATATGATAAAGCGTGTGCTACGCCTGGCCTATGGACTGCACACGTGGTTGGTGTGCATCCTGACAGTTACTATTATTTATTAAATATTAAACTAAAATAGAGAAGCCCAGCAGCTTCCAGTCTTGCTTGCCACTTTGTCCTGGTCAATGTGTGGTCCTCCACGGCTCCGACTGTACTGATGTGTTTGCTCATGGCAAGCATTCCAGGTTGGAGTCCTTCTCTGCTCGCTCATCTGTGTGACCTCGGGCTCTTTCTCTTATCACCTTCATCTCCAGTTTAGTCACCATAACAATGAATTTGTTCAAGTTAGATGTCATAGAGATCTGCTCCGTGGAGTTCTTAAGACCCAGTAAGCTAACATGTGGGAGTTACTCAGAAAAATGCCCGGTGCGTTGAAAGTGCAGCTCCTCCCGTGGAAAATCAAAGGATGGGCAGACAGACGCTGGGCTCTGCTAGGAAGGGGAGCATCAGGCTGCATGGCAGTGATGACTGAAAACTGGATCAGGCTGGAAAAAGTAAGCCCTGGGAACTTCCTCCCAGAAGGAAAATGTGTTGGCAGACAGGAGCTACTCAGAGAAACCTTCAGCGATAATAGCGAACCCACCGCACAACTTTCCCTCTCCCCCACCCCACTCCCCAGAAAACTATTTGAACTGACACAGGTGCTTTTTATCTCTGGGTGGTGAAGACAGAAGCCTGTGAGTGTGATAAGCAGATACAGGCTATCTGACCTCCTAAAGGGAGCCTTTTGGTTTTATTCTTAACATCTGAAGACTTCTGGGTATGGCCATTTATTGTTTAAGGAAACAAAATCCAGAGCACAATAATGGCCAGAGTGAAGCCTACTGTCTTTTTCACATGAACTTTTGAAGGAGGAATGTAATGTTTGTAATGGGCATGCTATCCGACCTTCTCGAGTATGACAATGGTAATTGTGCTTTGAACCTGGAAGACAGAACCTGCTGCCTCCCACCCTGGTGAAGGTCTCACACACTCCTGAGTCACTAGCTGAAAGTGTCATAGCTGGGCACTGCATACCCAGATCCCCCAATAGCTGTTCCTCTAAGGATATACCATACCGCTCTTGTGGTACACAGAGATACATGGCCAATCTACTCACCCATCTCCTGACTCCTGTGGCCCACAGGTTGGGGTCTGGGGCTGCTGGTGATAGATGCTGCAAATGGCTTTGAGGTGGCTCTGTGGGTGGCCTCAGCTACTGGAATAGCTAGAGCCTGTGTCAGGGTGACAGGCTGTGTGGTTGTCCCTGGAATAGATGGCTTCTCATAGGCTTTTGTGGTCTCACCTGTAAGAAACAGAATTGCATTGATGCCCACAGAACAGTCTGTGGAACTCAGAGGACCAGAAGTCAAATAAACGTTCACTGAAAACCACCGGCTTCTAGCAGAGACGTGTACTAGCCGCAGTGGAGGGTGGAGTCTATATAAACAGCCTGTACAATTTCAGAGCAATAAGCCAGTCAACAAAGATTAAACAACACATTTAGGTTACAGTTCAAAACCAGAGCAACATAGAAAAAGCAGAACCTGGTTAGTTGCCAGATTACTTTGCCAGGCCCCACGAGCAATGGTTTGTTTTCCTTTCTAACATCTATTTCTCTTTCTCTGCTTTCTATAACCTTGCTATCTCAGTTGTAATTGGCCTATGGATACACAGTACTTCCAGCACCCCCCCCCTCCCTGGGTCACTCTTACGGAATGCATGTTGGTTTACGTTGGTTCGTGAGCTGTCAGCTGACTTCTGGCCTCAGATGTCTTGACAATAGCTGGGATGATGGAACTAACTCAATGGTGAGGACCATCTAGGCTCTCCTAAATCCCAAAGGTTTAGCTTGTGTCTGGCCGTTATCCTTTAATCTTTCACTGTGTGTACTCTGACTTTCCATCACTCTCTCATCGTCTCTCTGTCCTGGAGCTCCTTTCCCCAACAAGTTCCCTCCTACTTTGATGTCCTATACTTGAGTCACTGAGTTTGGTTTTGGCTGCTTGCATGAGTATGAGTTGGAGGCTATTATATTAAGATTTATTTTAATTCTTAATTATGTATATGTGTACATACATATGTAATTATGTATATTATGTAATGCATTTGAGTGTAGTGTCAGGGAAGGCCCCAAGAGGGAGTCAGATTCCATTCCTTAGAGGTAGAGTTATGGTTGGTTATGAGTTGCCCTACATGGGTACTGAGAATTGAACCTAGGTCCTCTGAAAAAGCAGCAAGTTCTTTTAACCACTGAGCCGACTCTGAGTCTGGGTGGAAGGTCATTTTCCAGAATGTGGGGAGCTGATCCAAGGTTCTAGATGCAAAGCAAGTCTCAGTTTGGAGACCTTGGACCAGGGCCATAGAGAGACATAATGGTCCCCCTCATAATCGGTCCCCCCAGCTCTGGGTCTAGTGCCAGTGGCTATTGGGCACCAAGTGGAGTATGCCACCTTGTATACCTGGGAATCTAGTGTCCTGGTGTTGCTGTAATACACTGCCCTAAACCCGGAGGCTTAAAGCTACAGGGTTCCATTTTTTTCTCATGGTTTTAGATCCAGGATTTCAAAATAAGGACTACTGGGCCAAACTTAATGAATCAGCAGCATTGAACTTCCTCAAGGAAGCCCAAGGATAGATGTGTTCCTGCATCAGTGGAGTTCATCTGGATCGGTTTGTGGCTGCTTTTAAGGATAGCATCCTCAATATTGTTGTAATATGACCTCCTCTTTGCAGAGTCTGACTAAAGGAATTTCTCTCCACTTTCCTTTTATGGAGATGTATGTGATTGTATTAGGGCCTACCCAGATAATCCAGGAAAATATCCAATGTCAAGACCCTTAGTCATATTAGCAACGTGCTCCTCTCCATCTAAGGGCACACTCAGGTCCCCTCTCAGTGACAGGGATTTCAGCATCTTTTGCAGGGGACATTCTCAGCTCAGTATAGCATGCTGGCTCTAGCTGTTCATCACTGTGCTTGGGGTTGAAGCATTTTAGATGCGTGGAAAAGCAGGCCGAGGGGGTAACGCCTGAGGTCAAAAGATGCCTTTTCCATCCTCTTTGCTCCTTGATGTCATGTGACACTACTCACGGCACAGCATCCTAGAAGAGTGTCAGAGCTACAGCCCTGCAGACAACATTTGACAACAAGGGGGATTCCAACCCACTGCCCAGCACTGACACCCACTCCCTTCCACACCCTGACACTGTCACCTCCTAGAGGTGACATCAGCACTAATTCTGGAGAGTGGGCCAAATGAAAAGCAAACCTAGGATTGGGGTTCAATCAGCCATCCTGTCTGCTCTTGTGGGTAGGAAGCAAGTTTCTCGTTTTCATTTACCCTGTTGCTTGCCAATAGTTGGCCATCTTTAACTCAGTCAGGAGCATGGGCCAGACAATCCTTAAAGAGCCATGGAGGGCTTCTGGGCTTCAGCCAGCAAATGCACCACCCTGGGGCAGAGTCAAGCCTGCCTAATGTATGACATGTCTTTTACTTTGAATGATAGCCATTCATAATAAGTCTTAGAGAAGTGTTTAATTTCTCAGGAGGGATCCTCTGCCTTGTGCTGGTTTGAGATGGCCTCTTGAGGGAGATGCGGGCCTGCGGTTGGGATGTTTCATCTACGGAGGGGATACCAAGTAGAACTGCTTTTTAGATTTCAACGGACAGGATCAGAATCCAAGTATTTATTTGAGAGGCTGATATAAACTATCACACAGGTGATACTTTCAAATCATTAATTCATCCACAGGGCAACGAAGTAAAGTTTTTGCTAGAACATCTTCCTATCATAAACTTACAAAAGTTCGAAAATCACAATTATCTTTTTCTTACTCCATTGGCAAGATCCTAGGCTCCTGACAACCACCAGTCAACTTGAACATTCATTTTCAAGAGAGCCCAAGATTAACTATCACAAGGGTATGTGATAGTTAGGCAATGATCCTGGACACAGCTGCTTTCAGATGATTGATCAATTTACTCAAGAGTCGTGTCTCTGTCTATGTTTTTGTTCATTCTCTGTTGCTAATTAGAACCATCTTTATTGTGGAGGAAGAGGATCCTACTGTCCTGATCCTAATTCTCCCAGTTCCTTACTGAGTATGGAACTCTTGGTTCATTATGGGAAATCTGACATAATACTCTGTCAAATGGTTTCTGTAGGTGATGTCAGATATATGGAAGTTTTTTTTTTTTCCTCCTTTCAAAAGCTTTCACAGAAAGCTCTCAATGCATTGCTCTTCTGGGCATGGCTAAGATCAGCTTCCCCAGCAGCTACTTCTCCACGGCAGCAGATGGAGCCCCAGGCCTCCCTACACTTGACAGGAACATGGAGTTCAGCTCGAGGGGTTACTAATGCAGCCTCCAGGTATTGCTCCCCGAGAAACTGTCTCAGATGGGCTGTGGAATTTTTGATATAAGATCTGCAGCCCAGGCCAGACTGAACTCCTAGCCCTACCCTTGCCAGGCTTGCTTGTAAAGCTAACTGAACCTGTCTTTTATGAATAGAGACAGTTATGTCTACTCGGCAGGACTGCTGCTGTGATTTGGGAGAAATGTATAAGTCCCCCACACTGTGCATTGCACATGTAGGAATCCAATAAGTGGCAGGAGTTGACATTTGACATTGTGCTATGTATGCCTCTCCCTCTGCAGCAAACAGCAGTGTGCCTTGTAGCTGTGACAGGACAGAGCCAAGATGCCCATAGGTCTGAGTGTTGGTTCATCTCACCACTAACTCATTCTGAGACTTAGGGCTGTATACTAGGGCAGAGGTCTAAGATCCACTGCCTATCTATGACTGTATGCTGCCACTTTGGAGGATTTTCATGTAAATATTCCTGGTGAAGATTGTCACAGTCCTTCCTGGAAGTAGATACAAATATTTCTGTTAAGTGAGGGGACAGGCTTTCCCAGAGGTCAAGAAGCATCCCCACTTACAAGGATGAACAGAAGTAGAGACAAGGTTTGAACTCAAGGGTGATTGACTCTAAACCCAAACTCTTTGTCCTCAAGAAGGGAAGAAAGTGAAAGATGAACTTTGGTCACGTGAAAATTCCTGAATGTATCTCAAGGTCTCTGGAGATCTCAAAGTTTACTGACAGGGGTGGTGACAGTGTGTGTGTGTGTGTGTGTTTTGGTGGATATGGGCAGTGAGGACAGGAGGTGAAACTTACTGTAGTAAGACCCAGCCTTGCCTCCTCCAGGGCTTAGCAAACAGTCAAGGGGCGAGAGGGGGTGCTTTCCTGGCACTCTCTCCTAGCAGATTTCTTCAGCCCTCTTTGATACCAGGAATGTGCCTCACCAGTTTTTTTCGTGCATTTATGCAAATCAACACTTACCTGTTTTTATTTGCTCAGAGCAAATGGAGCCAGTAGCCAAGTAGCAGCTGCCTGCTTAAAGGTTGCTAACTGCCTGGGAGAGACAGCCTTCACACTTCAGGTAATATCTGTCCCCAGCGTGAGCCATGCTAGGCAAATCAGATACCTTCCAGGGTTCAAGTGAGATAACTTGCCACTGAAGACCTTGGCCATGCTTTTGGGGGTCATCCTAACCTGATTTACCCATTAACTCTTCTTTGAGAGCCTAGTAAGCATTTTACACAGCATGCTGTGACCTGAGCCATAGCTGGCCTTGAATCTACTTTTCTGTTTTGCCCACTAAAGGATTTTTTTTTTAACTTAGCAATGAGGCCATTCTTTCATAGTTCTCACCAGAATATTTTATTTAAATTAGTAAGAACTCGCCCCATGTGGGCATATCCTTTTAAAGACAGAACGAGACCCTCAGCATCCATCTGATTGGCACACCCATCATTTAGAGTGGGTCTGGCACACAGAAGGTACTCAGTACATCTGAGTGGATGGATGGATGAAGAGGAAATGCGCTCCTTGGAATATGGACAAGTGTGAATGGTGTAGAAATAAGGAACAGACCATAATACCTGGTGATATGCCCCAGAGGGTTGAGGTGGTAATGGGGACAGGTGACACCAGCAATGGTTGTGTTTTAGCACTGTGACTTTTGCACACTTTATAGACTTAAATAGAAGTGGGAGGGGCAAAAGCACCTTGACTCACCATGATACTTCAAAGATGCTACAGAGGCATACAGACAAGGTCTTGGTGTATGGAGACAATTCTGCCTGGCCAAGGCTGGTGTAGCTAAGGGGAGCTTTGGATAGTCCTCTACTACCTGGGGCTTCAAAACCAAATGGATTCCAAAATCCAAGGCAGCATCTCTTACCTGTACCAGATTCCTGCTCTCTCCTCACTACTGTTACCTGCTCTAGGATGCTGCAACCCATCAGCCTCTAAGGAACCAGTTACTGTCAATCACACCCTTGGGCAAATTGCTAACCTCTTCTTTGGCCAGCTTCTTTATCTTAAGCAGGGAAGATGCTGGCTTTCTCTGCCTCAGGCTCTGGTAGTTCAGGGATCTGGCACAGAGAGAGCTCAGAGCTATGGTCACTGGATGTTTGTGGGGCTCTTTCCCCTTTTCAGGTTTGGATTGAGGGCTGAAGCCAAAGGACCTGAACACTACTTTCTATACCAGGAAATTTGTCCTTGCGATTTTCATGCTTGTGACCTTTCCAGGTTAATCTGCACAGTCACCAGACCTAAGTTTCCCCACGTAGTGAACAGAAGAAAAGGACAAAGAAAAATATTAGGGAGGGGCCAGGAGCCATGCTGAGTAGGGGTGTTTAGATGGGAATGTGCTTCCTCCCTTCCTGTGGGCTCCTGAGCCTAAAGAACAGGTAAAGGTGACTGACCCATTTCCTGCCTATCTTTCTGAGGTAGAGCAGTCACAGGCACGCCCTGGACCCCTTGGAGAAGCTTTTGCAGAGGCTCTGGGAGAGTATTCTGGAAGGCTAGAAGCACTGTCCCATCAGAGTAAAAAGGGAGAGAGGGTCTTGACACATGTATCTGAAGTCAGGGGTTTATCTGGCTTTGATAACTCTCTCTACACTTGAGATCTCTGAGGCCATCAGTGCCATTAGCACACCTGGGCCAAAGACCCTCAACAGCTACAGGCTATGAGAAAGAGGTAACCTCACCTCAAAGCAAATCAGGCCTCAGGGCAGTCCAGAGAGAAAGAAAGCCCAGGGCTCTGAGTGAAGGAACCGCAGGTTCCTGGGATGGTAAGCCAGGAGTGGCAGAAAGGGGTGGGGACTGGAGGAGAGTAGAGCCGATAAGATAAAACAGAAGCCAGTTATCTACACATTTCACCTATTCAGAGGCGGGGAAACTTGGATAAACAGAAACTACCAGGAAGCGCTGTCACTCCTTCCTTGTGTCCTCACCAAAAGAAGACAGGGCTTATCGCAGATCTGGTTCTTAAGGTATCATCCCACTGTGAGGAACCAGGGACAGCTATGTGCCAGGAACAGCTATGTGCTTGCAACTCAATAAATATGTCACGATCATGTCTGTGATCAAAATGTCACTGAAGGTATAGGTCAGGCGGTGACAAGCTGAAAGACTGTCAACCTCTGGTATGTTTGCAAAGGCTCATCAGATGTAACACTGTGACTCAGAGAGTGGTGTTTGGAGCCACACTGTCTGCATTTGACTTTTGACCTTGCTACTTCCTTGCTGTTTGTCACCAGAAATTAACACAGCTTCTCTTAAGCTGTGTTTTCTGCAAAACTGTGCCTTAGGGCTAAGAATGGGGGCATCTTGGTGGTAATTTGGGCTGACTAAAAACTACCTGGAAAAGATCTTGTCACAGTGCCTCACACACACCAAGTATTCAAGAAACGCCAGCTCTTGAAATTCCAGAGCCATGTCTAGCTTACATCCATCAGCAGAGCATGAACCAAATCTACTCACTGCCATGTTTTCGGAATGCCAAGTTCCATGAGAGAGCAACTGTGTGAGAAATCAAAGCACCTCTCAAGAGAACACCAGGGAGGGCACTGTTCTGGACTTAGCATGGAAACTCGGGAAGAGGAATTTCTTAGTCTCTGCCCTCCTGAGGAGGCTGACTTGGCGAAGCCTCAGGGACCTGTGCTTTGCACTGATTCAGATTCATTGCTTGGGTTGCTTGCTGTTAGTGGATAAGTTCCTCTCCTGCCCTTTGCTTTATGACCAAGTAGAGGTAGCCTTTCCCCTTTTAGTTACCAGGAAACACTTCTAGGCATAAGGTCTGATCACGGTCTAAAGTAACAATACAATAAAATTCAGGGCCATAGTCATTCTGAATGAAAATGACACAAATGTAGACAATATCGAATCGTGAGAACAACAACAGAAAACATTCCACTCCCAGGCCATGTTGTCTGAGCGCATTGATTTTGGTGCCAGGTTCCTGGCATTGATTAACGCATCATGGAGGTCAGCAGAGCTTGACTGGGTAAGATGTTAATTTCCATATCATCTTCTAGAACAAAACATTGTGTGTTTATGTGCTCAGCTTGGATGAAATAACACATGAACACTTGCCTGCTTTAGCAGCTGCAGTTTTGGATGATGAATATGTAAGAGTCGATGGATAGGTTACACCCTTTTGGGGCTTACTTTCTGCAAAAGAAAAAAAAAAGAAAGAAAGGAAGAAATTAATTTCTGGGGTGGGTTTTCAAATCTCTCCGTGATGATAAGTAGGTTATCCCTAATTTATCACTCTTGAGTTCAGTGACATTTGTCACCCTTGCACGGAGTTGTCGATTACAATAAGAAAGCCAAGCGGCATTTTGTTTTTCCTGTGGAGGATTTGTTTTTATTAATAATGGAATGGAGGTAATAAAACCCCCATGACTCAGAGTTGCTTAACGTTTGCAGTTTCTTATTTTGCTCCTGAAGAGGTGACATGTAAGCTGAGTGGTTTTCACCCACACGGCTTTGCATGATCAATTACAATGGTAGACAGATGAGAGACACTGTATTCACGCTCCTTTTAGGTCTTGGACTGGCTGTCTGTGGGTGGATAGCTACCTCTCACTTCCTCAAACCCCATGGGACCCAGTGGAATCCAGAACATCACAAAAGCTTGAAAGCCGTTGTGTATAGGTCCTTGATGTAAGGCAAGGAGAAAGAGCATCTTGTCTAACAAGGACACAGTAGACAACCAGAGCTGGATCATCGATGACCCGGCAGAGCAGTCAGTAGTCATCAGGCCCGGGATGACTAAAATTTCTCTGGAAGGCCTATTTCCTGTGAAGCCATCTAATTTGCAAGAGATGCCCCACACTGGACTTTGTTCTACAATTAAATTGGAAGTGCCAATGCAATGCAGAGGCTCTCCTCCCTGACCCATGGCAAGTCTTTACATAGCAAAGTCTTTGTGCATAGCTGTGAAGATCCCAGGGCAATGAACTGTTTCATGAAGTTATGACATGAGAAAATAGCTTTAAAGATTCTCTCTCTCTCTCTCTCTCTCTCTCTGTGTGTGTGTGTGTGTGTGAGTGTGTGTGTGTGTAGAGGCCAGAAGAAGGTTTTGGATTTCCTGGAGCTAAAGTCGTAGGCATTATTGACCCCCTTAATGGGGTGCTAGGAACCCAAACACCAGTCCTTTGCAAGAGCATCAAGTGCGCTTAACCACTGAATGCATTTCTCCAGCCCCATGAGGGATAGATCAGTGCTTAGCCCCTTGCCACAATCCCTATGCTCTAGCTGTGGGGAGGTGGCAGCATGACTTGCTGTCATTTATATAAAAGCATTAATCTCTCGACACAAGGAGGGTACTTGGAGACAATGATAAGGGGTGGTGTCATGCGGAGAACAGAGTGAGGGGACAGAGGACCATGCAAGAATGTGCCAATCATCCTAGGGCACAAGGATTCCGAGGTCTCAGAGAGCACCAGAGACTAAGAAAAACTAGGTTTCTATTTCTATTTTATGTTTTCTTTCTTTCTTTCTTTCTTTCTTTCTTTCTTTCTTTCTTTCTTTCTTTC